TGACACACTTGTTCATATGAAATGATTCGACTTGCGAGTTCTTAGCATAGCATAAATTTTTTTTATCAAAGTGTCTTGATTAGTTTTGTACCCTGGGTTTCTTCCTGATAATATCGAATCTAGACGATTACAAATCTATAAATAACAGTCTTTAGTTGCAATATTCGGAGGCATTTAACTCTAATAAGTCATTTCAAAAACTTTTCACACCACAAAACAAAAAAATAGCACAAATAAAAAATCAGCCACAAGTCATTTGGAAAACCAGTTTATTCCCGGCTTTCTAAGTATAGTTCAGATAAGTGCTCTTCTCTTCAGCCATCTTACAGCAGCAAAACAGGCGCAAAATACAGTACTATTGAAAAAAGCGAATTAGTAATGTGCCTTTTGAAGTGCTCCTCAAATACACTAAAATTCACTTTGGGCATTTTTTCATCCCTTGCACTTGTGCACTCTCGACTTTTTTACATTTCCTCTTAGGCAGGCAAACGACGGCTAAAATAATACACTTGTGTCGTCTTAAGAGACTTTTGTTGATTTGTAAGTATGCTTTCAATACAATTTTCGTTTTGTCAAAATCTAGTCAAAAAGGTACTAGCAGTGAGGTTCGATTTCAATGCAGTGTCAAAAACCTTATCTCTTATCTTTTTAGGTGGTGAGAAACTTTCCTAAGCCATTGTCCTGCTCAAATGGTCCCTTCGTGGCCAAAGCAAGTCTGAACTCTCGCCCATACCGTACCTCCTCCAAGCAAGCCAACGAGGCTTTCTAGTGTACGGTATTGAACGAGAGTTGTTTGAAGCTGAATTGCTTGGGCACGAGGGGATATTTATAAGCCGCCGCATCTAAAAATTGGGGAAGCTACATGACAAATAAGAATTTTCCGATTACTTAATGCTGCTTTCAGCACTTGACATCATAGAAGAAATTATTTTCTTGAGGCAGAATTGTTTGTCTTTTATGACATGACTTATCCGAAAATTTTGCGCATCATACTTCGCTGCTAGAAAACTTCCATTTCAAAAGATGACGCGGAAGGTCAATCGGTGCATTTTTTTCCTTTTTTCCATTTCGTCTCAAGTGATTTATCTATGGGAAATGATAAGCGCGATTATTTTCATTTGAAAGGTTATTCATTTATCAGCTGTCTGCACTCCATATTGATCGCTGTCACATGCGATGTTCGGCTTTTTTTCATCAAATCTAGATTGTTGAATGCTAAGAAACTCGACGAAAAATAGGCTAACGATTAGCTTAGGAAAGGTTTCAACTCATAATCATAAAATCTCGGCTATCTGCAGAAAATCCCGCTTGCCCTTCTCAATGTTTGATTTTCTTAGCACAAAGTATGTGTCAATCCATACTTCAGAAATGATCAGAAATTTACGAGTTTTTAATATTTACATGTGACGCGGGCTTGTGCATCATTTCTTTTCATCTTTCCTTGTTACAGCTGAGTGTCTTCTCATAAGTTCTATTCATATCATATCAGATCACAATGTTTGTGTGAACTGTTCAAGATTGAGAATTGAACCAGCCTACATTGTTTGTTGTTTTACTTAGCTCAGCCATTGTAAATTAGCATGCATTTTGCCTGTTTTACCTCCAAAATTTCCATTTTCCTGTGACTCAAAACACTCCTCTTGAATTTTTCAAAAATTCAGCCAGTCAAGCAGTCATTATTTTGTGTATTCTCTGACATAATTTCAAGAATATGTTGCTGTTATGATCGATGTACCGTCTGCGCTTCTTCCATCAATCATACAGGTGAGAGACTGCATGATTGAAAGAGGCGCAGACAGTCCGCAATGACGTCCAGTCGGTATCTCACGTGCAAAAAAATTATCCTACTATAATTTGTGTGCGACTCTTTACAATGAAAGTACTCTAGATCGTGGTGCAGGTTTGATCCCTTGTACTCTCAAATTTTGGAGCTATAAAAAATTCCACCAAAAAGTTCGGTCATGGTTTACACTGTAGGGTTTAAAGTCTGATTTGTTAAGTCATTTTCCATTACCAAGCGGCTTTTTTGCAAAAAAATAATCAGGCGTAGTGCGAATTTTGAAGTTAGCGGGACAACAGCAGCGACTACCCATGGGCTTTTTTCCGTAAGAAATAAAACGCCGATAAAATTCTTGTAAGCAGAGTTGCCCAAGGGTCTCAAATGAATCAGCCAATAAACAATTTCACGACGAGCAGCCCTCTAGCCATTGACCGCTGAGTCACCAGCTGTTCGAGCTGTGTGCAACTGATACGTCAAAGCCGTCGGCTGTTTTGCCCTCGTTGTCGGGGAGGGGTTAGGCACCCGGGCGCCGTTGGTCCGTGGGCGGAAGCCGATGGACGGACGGACAGCATCCGAGGGGGAAAAGATGTGAATTTCATTAGGTTTTATCTAATTCACTCGTGTGACTGAAAGAGACAGAGAGAACGAGTGAACAAGAAACCTGTTTCGTTTTGAGTACGTTTCCAACCATATAAGTTATCGTTGTCAGTTTTCCGGCAAATCGATGTCTTTTATAACTTGACGTTTGCCACGCGCTTTTATTTTGTCTGAAGATTGCGTGATGGGAGGTCCTTCCCTTCGTTCCCTTCGTTCATTTCTTGAAGAGAAAGTATAGAAAGTTTATCTTTACCCAAACCTTACTCTTATGATACTGAGAAGCTACCGCTGGTTTAGCATATCTAATTGTCCTCATCATTCAGAATCTTTTTATCTTTTTCTTTTTCCCAGTGCGTATCACTTCATGACCAAGCTCTTGTGATTGTTTTGCATACGAGATCTTGGCTGTGCCTCCCTCTCTCGCACATTTTGGTGAAGAGCGAGTCACGGATTGTTTTGGTGTTCGTTCCCCGTCTCAAAATCGTTTATTCCCAAATGATCAGTGACTACGTAAATGTTGTCGAGGCCATCAATTTCTCCAAACCTACAGTAATCCTCATTTCAGCAGTCGCCTTGTGTATTTGCACTACTTTCTGATTGCACTTTCAGATTCCTATCTCAAAAATACAAAATCTTCTTTGTTTATACAATCGTTTTTATATTAGTTTCTCATAGGCTTGCATTATTTTCTAATTATGAGCTGAGCTTTGCCGCCACCGGGCTCCTCTACTGCTGGTTGCAGAAGTGCGCAATCACACAATACGACTATCAGAATGAGAATGAATATAGACTAAGGCAGCTTGCTTTGCTAGTGTGTGCAATTACACACTTTCCAGGATGCTGCCGTAGGACGGAGGGTTCTCACTTTGTAACTCCATGACATCGCAATTTTTTAGAGTTTTTGGACCACCAAGAAAACAAGAAAAACCATAAGAAAAATTATTATGGGGCTCGCTCCATCCTGAAAAACTTGCAATTGCACATCAGCAAAGGACTCTACTCGAATATATTAGGTTGTCCCGAAAGTTTTGTCGGTTTCTTTCATCGCTCACCAAAACTCACAGAACAGCAATCCATGGACGGCTTAGGTACCATTTGATTCAGATTTCTATTCTCTTTCTTACAGTTATACTTGCTTTCTGATATACCCTGTATTTGCGATGTTATCGACATGGCTTTTCGGGCAGTCCAGCAGTAACGCAAATCTTTCCTAAATTTTAAAAAATTTTGTCATGGCGTTTCCAAGGAGCGCTAGTGACTTTTATGTAGGGCAAACCTTTGGCTACATTGTGGCTATTTTAGATTACATGGGCCACGTTTATCAAGTCCGTAATAATTATTTATTTGAGAAAAACCGCGGCTTTTTGAACACGTTTTACCACGTAAAATTACCGAAAATTCCAAAAAGCTGATTTTTGAAGCAAATCAAACTTGGTCATGTTGCATAAATGATGTTTAATAACAATCAAGTGTGAATTTGCAAAAACTTCAAAAGCTTTCATGCTTTTGCTGCAATTGCGCGTTTCATGACTTAGCCAAAAGTCGAGACCTGAGAAGAAATAATTTTTTGAAGTCAAAATCAGCAAATCAGGAGATTATAAAATTACATCTTGTAGCCCGAGAGTTGCTCTATTTGACCCATGCTTGACTTCTTTCGAAACTTTGTAACGAAATTTTTAAAAATTAGCTCAACTTTGAGGAGGTAAAAATGACAGGTGTAGAATTTCGGCGATTACCAACGAAAGCATACAACATTATGGTATGAAAGTGCATCCATAAGAAAGAGAAGGAAAAGCTGCATCGAATGCATGTTGAAATTCACTCAGGTCTTTATTGTGCGTGGTTTTACAGTGGTCTGAAAAAACCGACAAAACTTTCGGGACAACCTAATACATCAATAAGCAAACATTACGAAGATTGCGAATTGCGTAATTGCTTGAGTGGGAACTTGACTTATTTTTGACTGAAATTGCTGTGTCTGGGGTATAGATTGTCCTCAGAGAATTTTGTTATTTCGTAAGCCAAAAATTCGAATACAGTGCCATAGTTTCACACTTCGCCATTTGCTCCGATCGCATCGTTCCGGCAATCAAAGTGCTACATTCTTTGTGGATCAATGGGGTCGTTAACCGTTTTTCTCTCACATTCGGTTGCATTTTCGTCATTGCTAACCGTAGCAATCAATCTTTTGCAGAAGTCTCGTGTGCTGCACCGCTAATTGAATGTCTAAGCATTAAAAGACGAAATCATATTGCTAACTTGGTAACTTGAAAAAGGCTGCAAGAGATATCTTCCTCTGTTGTGTAACGCGCTGCGCGTGTTTTGTTGAGTCGACTTATCCGTCACACCTGCACCCTCTAGCCCCCCCCCCCCCCCCGTCGCTGTGCCGAGATTTCGTCCAAAGTTTTCTCGCTTCTCACTCGGCAAACGTCCCCTGCCGGGCTGTGTTTGCGTAAGCCACTTGATCATATGTTCCTCTTCCACGTTTCCCAAAGAACGCTCGTCGCTTGTTCGAGCTTCCGCCGAACGGCCGAACCGTATCCGCCAAAGCTCTCCGTGGATCTCTCGGATCATCTGCTTCACACGGCACATCCATATCCAATTTTATGCGATTTCTTTCCAGACACTGGTCGCATGCCGGTCGGCGGCGGGTCTGCTTCTCGTTCTGGGCGATTGGCTCGAATAAGTCAAAGTAACATTCGTCCGTTCAACTCGGGAGGCGTTGGTGGAGGCTATGGACCTGGTGAGTTCAATACTTTTGTAAGAGCTTTCATTTCAGGGAATCTTACTCAACTAATGTATTGCTTAGAACTTTTTGGTCGTGTGTAATGGAAATTGGTGAGGAATTATCTTGAAACCTCGGGCTACCATTTACAGTTATGAATTTATTCATGTGATCAAAGCTAATGATACCACAAATACTCCAATCACCCTTGGGTCAAGGTTTACATACCTCCCAAAATCACATGTTTCAAATCATTTTTATTATATTTCACACGGTGGTTTTTCCTGTCGTATGATAGATCTTTGAGTCTTTTAGTGCTTTTTGATAATACAAGCTGATAAAGAGGAACATAGAAATCTGAACATAAACGTAGAATTTGTTTAAAATTTCGATCGATGGTATACAAGAAGTCGTGGAAGAGTTGATTGAGCTTCCATTATGGCTCAAAAACCTATTCTTTCTTATTAAAAACTCCATGGTTGGATATTTTTCTGAGAAAATCATGATCATCATTCAGTTCTGTTTCCGAAATTATCCTTGAGAGCTACTTGGCTTCATCTAAAATAAGCAAACACTGGATCCAAAACAATTTTTGTAATATTTGGTGCAAGTCCTAAGGATCAACGTAATATGTGTTTTACCAATTGGTTTCATTGCATTCAAAGCGGTATTTATGGTTTTTCTAAAATTCTTATGGGCATTGAAAGGATTGCGCAGATGCGTAAAAAATTTCTTTCAGGAACCCGCAACATCTATTGTCTGTGTATTTGCGAATTGAGTCGATGCCTTTTATACTTCGTAAAACTCTAAGCTCTGGCTATACAACATGAATGCTCCACATTGTTTTTTATCGTCCGTGCGTAAACATAATCCTATTTTAAAACTCTATGTATTGCAAGTCATGAAACGTTCGCCGTGCTACACGGCCTCTTTCAAATCGAGGTCGAGCCGAAGGCTTACATTTTTACAATGCCCCAGCCCTCGCTGCATAATCCGGAGCGCACCAGCTTACGCATTTATGTTTTTTGATCTATTGCTTATTTTAATCATTTTTTCCGCAGTTTTGGACATGGCTTCATAAGAGCAACATTTGCATGAAACGTAGTAGGCAAAATCGAAAATGAGACGCATTTATGATTCCGAGAATTTTGTGATTGTTACTTGTTTGCACAGCTTAAAATTTTCAAAGCTTATTCAAAATTCATATCTTATATGTAGCAAAGCATTAGCAAAGTCTCATTTTGAAATTGGCGCGCCTTTCCTGCATTGATAAGATGGGAAGATAAAATGTCGAAATTTCACGTTTCCCATCAGTTTTAGGCAACTATTATTAGAATTTTGATTCACTATGCAGAAAAAAGTACCTGCAATATTTCCCCGATTTTTTGCCCACCCCGACAGGGGAAGAAAACGATCATCATTTTAGTTATACAGCGATTATCAAAAGATCTGAAAAAACATTTTCTATGTTTTGAATTAGAGAAATGCAAATAAATATACTTGCTTACTATTATGAGCAATCTGTGAAGCAAGCCATTGGATCTGTCTCTATGTTGCTTTTTTGAATAAACATAGGCAGAAAGTATGTGGAGCAAATGTGTTTTCGTTCTGCAAATTTTTTCATTCCAATTTTGAGCGGAGAACTGAAAATTATCGCCCATTGTTGTGTTGAAGCAACTTTTCAATTTTGTGAGTTCGGTGACATCCTTCACTAAGGCAATTTGTTTAGGTTAGTTTGTATGATGCACTCTATCTACGGCATAGGTAAAACTCTCACAGGACTTACGAGGTGTCCTATAAGCACATGCACATTGTTTGGACGTTACTCTCTCATACTAAATTAATTTGCGGACATTTTGTATTCTGTAGAGGTGGCTTTAATTTTGGAACTTTAGGACAGCAATTGAAAGTTCCGAGCGATTTTGGGCCGGTAAAAGCTATTTTCTCCCAAAGAAAAACACCAAGAAATTTGGAGATTCTGCTTCTTGCTCATGCGCACTAAAATTGTTAAAGTTGAGTTAATTTTGAAACAGTGTCTAATTTATTGGAAGTTCCCATTGCAAAATCATCGCACTGAAGGGACGATGTTTCATTCAACACCGTACATCTACGGAGGCCAGATTTACAAAATGGTACTGTCTGCAATACTCTTAGAGGCATCGACATCAAAGATCCCCTGTGCAGCTCATTTTCTGCCACAGACGCGGTTTTATATAAGGGTAGGGATTATACGTGAAGTTGCGCAAAAAGCGGTGCATGTGGCTGCGTTTATAGTTGCCCGCTTCTGCGCCGTTCCAACAACCTTGCGACGTACCAGCGCCGTGACGGAATTTCGATCGATGGATACGGGGCACGTGCCCAGGGTTGCGGCACGACGCTAGCACGGCGATGGTGCGTCTCCGGCGCAATGCAACTGAGCTATCCGCATTGGCGTAACCCTAGACACGAAGCTGCCCGTGCCAGAGCTTTGAGCGTCGCGATTCATATGCGTTGCTGTGAAGGTGTGAAGGTTCGCGTGTTTGCCCTAAGTATGTGGTTTAAGGTGCAACTAATACAGAAATTACGATAAGTGTGCACATTTTATTCTACTAATTGCTGTCCACATCGGATTGCAATTTAGATTCCATACTTAAGAAATTCTGCTAGTTTGTAGTTCTGCTAGGGCATCACAGGTGTCCTAACAAGCGCAATCATCATAATATATTACTTTTTTTGAAGGATATTTGCACAAATTACGTCTCTATCGTTGTGTTTTAAAGCACAAGGCCTATTACTACGATTTTCATTGTGTACCTGTCTTTGTTTGGTGTCTTTGGACAAAACAAATCTTGCAGGCCAAGCGTGCTCATTAATATTGCATATACTTTTTGCTTTGAAAGCGACAAATACTCCCATACCGCCGCTATTGTTTCCGCCGGATGATTGCTACAATCATACAACGCATGGGCTTTTTGGTTGGCTGCTTAATCCATGCGAACGTATTTTTATCACATCTTAGCTTTTATGGATGTAAGGAATCATTCACTGAATTGTGGGAGTCCATACTATGGTTTTAGCCATCGTCTTCATAACCACCTAAACAATTTTCGTTCATTTTCTTGTTAGTGAGCATATAAGAGATAGATAAGAACCTGAAGGATGTCATGAAGTATTGTCGGATTAGGATTTGTGCATGCCCCCTTACCCAAAAAAGTCATGATTTCGTTCAGTACTGAGGATTAATTTCCTGCAGAAATTAGCTGCACACTGTGTTTTTTATCTGCTAATGCTACAGTAATCCGTCGGTCTGTGATTTTTTTACAGAAAAAAAAACCAATTGCTACCAGTAATCTAGTCATATTTACACACAGTGCACAATCTTCATCGGGGTTCAAGAGCATCGTAACAGCATAGAAAAAAAACGAACTCGAACTTTTTTTTATCAAGCATCAAACAGAGCCGCTAGCAAGTCATTATTTTTTTACTTCTTTGAAAGCAGATCCTTACTGTTTTATCGGGCTTCGAAAAATAGCTTGATTGCGAGTACTTCATAAAATTATATCGAGATTTACACGTCAAAATCCTCCAAAATGCCTAACAGTAAGAGTAAAAAGCCAAGCTCTAATTTTTTGTTGCAGTACTCCAAACCTATTCCGGCATTTCTTCAACAGCTCCTATGTAATTGCCATAGCCAAGCTCATCACTCTTTTGTCTGTGTCTCGGTGATCAGATCACTTAGAAATCCATAATGACATCCAAATGTGCATCATCTGTAGGTTGATAGCGAACCACAATTAGTGTTTATCATCCAAATGTGATTGCTACTATTTCAAAGGTTTTAATTTTTGGTGACAATGAATGCGTTCTTTTCATAATCAATCATTGACTATTGAATTTTTTTTCTTTTGTAAAATTCGCGGGTTATCCTGCAAAATTTTGTAATGGCCTAAAGTGTTTATGTGATTCACGAATGTTCTTTGAACGAATACTGCCCGTAAATGTGCAATTTCATCTATATTTCGAAAACGCAGATGTTTTATGAGATAAACGAGCATATAATGTCCATTCCAATCACATCAGCAGACTGATTTGTGTATTTTTTGCTTGATGTTGAGTGAATCACACGGGCGCAATAGGATTTTTGACACGCTCTTACACACATATAGCTGAACAATGACGCTCGAGTGTTTATCAGATGAATTTTTTTCCATCATGAGCACAAGAACAACGGAGTCACAGTCACTCCGTTCGTCATCCCTCCATAGCAGGCTCGGCACAGTTGGCTTATAAGCAAAGACATCGTTTTGGGACAAAAAGCAAAGAGGGTATGGTTTTCGCTGGTTGGAAAACACAAGTAAGATTAGGTTCTTTTCTAGTCGACGTTTCGGTTCTCGAAGTTTTTCACTCGATACGGATAAGTTTCAAAGGGGCCTTCGTAAAATTTTGTGAAAGTCAGGGGACCCTCGTTTTCTTTTTGTATTTTTGGAATGCCACCTCGTGCCGAGCCCTGCTCGGTCTCCGTAGCATGAGCTGTTAGGAAATGCACAGCTGTTAGAATTTCATATTCAAGTTGGCGAGCGTCCTCTGCTGAAGTGACTGATGAGCGAAGCTGCAAAACTGATATATCAACTTCATTTGGGTGGTATTCATGACAAACGATGTCACCCTTTGGCACTTTTTTCTTGCACTTTTGCAGTTTTGCTGTCATATTTGCACTTTTTGCTACATATATGTGCTCTTGCTTTCGGTGTACTGTAGAGATCATCTTTAAATTATCAAGAGACGTTGACAGAAGTAATATGAGTTCTATTTATGAGGCGCAGGCACGAGGCTGTCGTAGCTCTGGCACGAGGAGAACTTCGAATTTGAACTAAGCTGTGAAATACACATTCTGCAACGTTCATTTCCACTACAATGAAAATGAGCCTGATGAAAAAATAGTCATTGTCCGCTGTTTTGATGGTTTTACAAAGAAGGGAGGGATACTTGGTTAGCGGCATCTCCATATGAGATGTATACTGTCTTATAGAGCATGGAAC